TATATATATATATATATATATATATATATATATATATATATATATATATATTAATTTAATATTTCATAATTTTTTTTAAAAAAGAGGTGCATTATATATATATAGCTAAAGTTTCATAATTACAAACAGTAGCTAGTAGCTACAGTTATAATAGCTTATACAAAAGGAATTCAATTTTTTTAAAAGTAAATGGCGATAATCTCGGAGGGTATAAGTCTCTTAATTCACGCTCGCTATAAATTATACCTATTATATCTTCCTTCGCCAATAGAATTGAGTACCTCCAATCGCCGCCGGCAACTCACTTTTCTTTTGATATTGTCGAATCGGTGTGGATTTCATAGTTGATTATATAACAGGTACATAATACAATGAATCGATTCAGTTTAGGTATATAGTTTCATCTCTTTTCTATTTAATGCTCTGGAGATTTGGTTGAATCGGTTGATATTTAGGTCGAAAAAACTGCTTCAATTATATAAATTATTTAATCGAAATTCAAATCGTAATCGATAATCCAAGCTTTGATTGAGTCTATGTTTCAATTGTTTCCTATGGAGTTAGATTGTATAAAGTGTTTTAGATTTGTAAAATTGTATAAATTAGTTTTAGTTGAATTGCGATTGGAATATGTATAATTCATTGATAGTTGTAGTTTATGTGGAGTTAGTGTTTGTATAAGTTAGTATTCGTATAAATGTATACTTTTATATCTGTAGAAGTATAATTGAGTTGTTTCAGTGATTAATTGTATAAGTTAATTTTTGTATAAGTTAATTTGTATAAAGTGATTTAGATTTGTAAAATTGTATAAATTAGTTTTAGTTGAATTGCAATTTGAATATGTATAATTCATTGATAGTTGTAGTTTATGTGGAGTTAGTGTTTGTATAAGTTAGTGTTCATATAAATGAAAACTTTAATATTTGCAGCTGTATAACTGGACAATTTTAGTGATTAATTATATAAAGTTAATTTTTGTATAATTTAGTTTGTATAAAGTGATTTAGACTTGTAAATTGTATTAACTAGTTTTAGTTGAATTGCGATTGAATATGTATAATTTATTGATAGTTGTAGTTTATGTGGAGTTAGTGACTGTATAAGTTAGTGTTCATATAAATATAGATTTTTATATTTGCAGTTGTATAACTGAGCTGTTTCAATGATTATTTGTATAAAGTTAAATTTTGTATAAATTTATACATAAATAATCTGTTTTGATTTATTTTTGTATATTGCAGGTTTCTCCGTCAACAGAATATGTTCACAATGTCAATGATAAAGGTAGAAATTATATAATTTGTCTTAAAAAAGTGTACTTGTGAAAGCTTTCAGTATGAAGAAATATCATGTGAACATGTTTGGGCTGTTTGAAGTTCAAAAGTCTAGGACAAGATGAAATCTGCTCGAATAAACAATGTTGAAGGCTTATGAATTTCCAATATACTCATTGCCAGATAAAATACAGTGGGTGGTCCTTGGATATATAATGACTGATTTAGTTCTGCCTCGAGAGTCCAAAATGCCTCTTGAAAGACCAAGAAAAAAAATCTCGCGATAAATCAGCAAGAGAGATGTTTGAATCTAAGGAGACAAAACATGCAGTACATGTGGCATTGCAGGACACAATAGGCGTTCTTGTAAAAATTAGCCTCAAAAAGCTTAGAAAGATTCAGTTTTAAATATATATGATGATTTTATACATTTAACATTGCCTGACTTTTGTCATTTGAATATTATTTTAGTTGTATTGATACATGATTACAGATGGTATTTCAATTTATCTCTACTTGTTTAATTGAGCTATTTCAGTGGTTAATTGTATAAAATAATTGAAATAATTAAATTGTGCTAATTATTGTATAAATTAGTGGTATAAAGTGATTTTAATTTGTAAAATTGTATAAAGTAATTTAAGTTGAATTGCTACTTGAATATTTATAATTCATTGATAACTATAGTTTATGTGAAGTTAGTGTCTCTATAAATTAATGTTCGTATAAATGTAGACTTGATATTTGCATTTGTATTTTGATATACAACCTGCGGATAATATTTGGTATTTTTGAAATTACTTTGTATAAAAAAAATTGGCGAATTTGAAGTCAAAAGGTGACATTTGCAGGATTAGTGAGTCCTGTAAATACTTTGATGAGACTGTATAATTGCATATGACATATAAACTAACAAACAAACTAAAAAGACAGCTGATACAAATTTTTATTGTTTTTACAATAATAATTGCATTTGTATAATGATTTCTCAATTAAGTTGAATAATTATTCAAAAAGTATTGTAAAACTATTCATTTGTATAAATTAGTTATATCAGTTATATTCACGAAAAAATTGTATAATATGTGAAACATCAACAAATAAAAGATCATTAAACAAAATAATAGAGCCAACAAAATGTTATTCCCATCAAACTGGAATATTCACAAAGTATTACTGCTAATACAAAATTTCAAATAAACATAAAAGATACAATAAAACTAAGTGACTATGATACGGTCACTACTATCCACATCAACGTTTGATCTGATTGGCTTGTCTGGTGCCTCATTTCACTAATCTCTCAGCTTGATTGGAGCGTAATTGATCCATTACCCCAATATTGATATAGTATTGCATATGTGGGGTGTAAAGTGGATCTTCCTTGAAAAGAAATTGTGCTCCCTAATAAATAATGGGAATGTATTATACAATTTCAAATGTATAATTATAAAGACAGACAGCAAAAACAGTATAAAATATAAACTATACAAAATGAATATCTATATACAAATACAGACTTATACAAAGTGAATATCTATATGCAAATACAGACTTATACAAAATGAATAGCTATATACAAATACAAAGTCATACAAAGTGAATATCTATATACAAATACAAAGTTATATAAAGTGAATATCTATATACAAATAAAAAGTTATACAAACATGAATATAACTGTGAAACCAAAAATAAGTAAAACACAAATATCAAAATAATGACAACAACAATTGAAATATAAATTTTCATTTTTGTATATAAAGATACAAATCTATTCCAACCGTTAAAGATATGCATACAACTTTATATCTGAACTTCAAACATTATATATATACATATATATATAGTTTACCTCAATTCTTTCAAATTGTAGTTGTTCAACTGAATCAGATTGGGCATCTTCTTCATTACTGGTAAATGCAATATCTTTTACTTTACGCTTCTTCTTTGAAATCAAAACTTCAACTGAGTTGTCTTTTATTGCTTGTAGATGCAATCTTTTTTACTTTATGCTTCTTCTTTGAAGTCAAAACATGAAAAAAAAATTATTTTCTTTATGTTTATCCACTTTTTTGGTCTTCCTTTTTTATTTTGCAATATGCATGACTTTTTGCATCTTCAATGGAGTATTACCAGATTTCGACATATACTCTTGTCGATTAATTCAAAATTTAGCAATGGATCCTGAAATTTCTTCGAAATCCTGAGTTAAACCCAAAGAAAAAGATGAAAAATCATACAAAAACTGTTAATTTGGTTGTATACCTCTAGTGATTATCTCAGAAGGTGTTTCTTCTTCATCTATGATTTTGGATGTATAAAATCAAAAAACTTAAAAGGAATTTTTTTTTTGCAGTAATATACAAATAAAATAATGAAATAAGAATGAAATCGAAAAAACAATTACCTGAAAAATTTGAGAGAACAAATTGAGAGGGAGAGGTTGAATTTTTGAATTTAGGGTGAAAAAAGGTTAAAAGAATTTTTTTGCAGAGACACATAAGTAGCGTGTGAACTGGGGTAAAAAAAGAGGAAAAAGCACACTTCTGACAACCGTAATAATGACCAAAAATAAGTGGAGAATAGTAAATAAAGCAATCAGTAGTTATTTTAAGTAATTTATTGATATAAGTTTGTTTTTTCATATAATTTCTAATTTTAATTAAGGCTAAGATAATTAATAGATTTTAATTAATTATTTGAAGGAAAAATTAGTAAGCTAGTCAAAATAAATAACATATTTAGTAAAAATATCCATACTTATAAATATTAGCAATAATGTCAAAAATGTCATTATTTTAAAAAATTTATGTGTCCCAATTTTCTTCCTATTTTATCTCTCTTTTTCAGTTAATTCTATATATCCTTTTTTTAAAAAAAAAAATCATTCTCTCTCATATTTATCTTTTCAAATTGTTAATTCTCTCTCCCATTTAATTTTTTTTCTCTCTCATGGTTATCTTTTCTGATTTTCATCCAACATTCAAGTTGCAAATATTTTTTTGCCATATATTTTGGTTGTTTTTTTAATCCAAAATTGAATCAACAAGAATTCCTTTTGATTAAAGTATCTCTAATCTTTATCCTATTTTCAGATTTCTTTTCTAATTTTATTTTTGTTTAAATCTTAAAAAAATGTTGTTTGTATTTTTCAATTTCCGTTATGATTTACTCTTCAATGGCTGAATCCAAGAGTCTTACTAGAGGTATTCATCTTAATCAACCAATTTCTGGTGATTTTTCATCCTTTAATTTATTTATTACTTAACAAATAGTGTATAATGTATGATCCGCTGCTAAAATGAGGGAAGAAAGAGGGCAA